AAGGAAGGAAGGAAGGAAGGAAGGAAGGAAGGAAGGAAGGAAGGAAGATGGGAAGCACATCAGCAATATTCAGAGTTTACCCTCCTACAGATATCAATCTTTCCTTTATTAAAGGTATCTCCTCCAAATCACAAGCCAACCATCTTGACTTTTTATATACCTCCCTTCCCCCAAGAACAACCCTGCTAAGAATAATTAGTATCTGGGGCTACTGAATATCTCTTTCCATTTCCCCATATTAATTCAATAACAGAAGACTTTACTTTGGCTTGCTGAAGCAACAGCACTAACAAGAAACTGTACTAATGGCCTCATTCTGCTTGGTCTACTACAGCATTTCCTCTTTGATGCTATAAGGTGCTGAGCACAACATCTGCCTTTGGTCTCCATAACAGAGCCTCTGGGATTCAGTTGTGCACACAGAGTCCAGGAATTAAGATATCAATAATTCTTATTCATCTAACTTCAAAGAATATATAAAGCAACATATCTGGGAGTCCCATAGTGACTCTACAATGTGGAATAAACCTCACAGACATACAAGGAGAAAATTAGGAAGGGATGCATACTGAAAGAACTGATGCACAGTTTCGCACAAATTGGAAAATTGGAAATTGCAGCTTTGCCTTTGGAATGGTACTCATTGTGTTATATAAACATCTCAAATCAAATAATTTGTTGTTATTGTGGCAGGGGTGGCTCCTATATTAACAGAATAACAGAACAGAATAACAGAGTTGAAAGGGACCTTGGAAGTCTTCAACCCCTGTTCAGGCAGGAAACTCTATAGCATTTCAGACAAATCGTTGTCCAATCTCTTCTTAAAAATTTCCAGTGTTCACAACTTCTGGAGGCAAATTATTCCATTGATTAATTGTTCTAACTGTCAGGAAATTTCTCCATAGTTCAAGGTTGCTTCTCTGCTTGATTTGTTTCCATCCATTGCTTCTTATCCTGCCTTCTGGTGCTTTGGAGAATAGGTTGATTGTCTCTTCTTTGTAGCAACCTCTTAGATATTGGAACACTATTCATAATAGCCACCCCAAATCTTCTTAGCATTGACTGTTATCACCCAATATACTGTACACAGTGGCCATCTTTTTGATCTTCCCAGCAACTTCCTACCAGCCTATCCTCTGTTCAACCCTTCCCCCAACCTTCTTACTGCCCTCCATCTTCAATGATATGTTTTTCAGCAACTATAAAAAAATGAATGCTTTATTCAATTTGCACAGAATGGCAAAAAGATGAGATGTAACTTAGAGAAATAATTAACAAGCCTAACTCCTTAATGCATCTATACTTAACTATATTCCAGTGAATGGAATCAGCCATAAAGCAGACATTTCCCCCTTAAAAATTTAATCTACTTCCCCTATTTTCAGATGCCAGTATCTACCTGGCAAATCACTGACTGTCTTCACACTTTACTCTCAGTCTTAATGTGCTTTGTTTAGTTTTCACTTAGTGTGATGTGTGAAGCCAGTCACCATGCCTTATTTAACAAATCCCATTTAAATTAAATCAGGATTCAAAGCAATGTATGCGGCCAGCTACTGACCTGATTTCTGGGTGCATTTCAGAATGTCCATGGAACAGTGGTTCCTAAACTGGGAGGGTAATTACCCCCAGGGTGGTAATTTGAGCATATCCTAATTGTACAAATAGAACAATTTGTAATTGCTTGATTGTGAACTGAGGGTCGAATTTGGGGCTGCCACTGTTAAGATAATTGTAAAATAAGAGATTCTGCAATTTTTGTCAGGTTAATGACATTATTTGAGACAGAAAAAAAGGGTTATTGGGTTAAACAGTTTAAGAACCACTCCCCTCGAAGTTAAGTCCCCAAATATGGACTTCTCTATCCTTTATCACTATAACAGAAGTGTTATGCAGGTTTCTACTGCTTTGTTGAATTATTTATGTAGGGGATGGGGTGTGTTTTCCATGTAGCTAGTCACTAGCAAGTGTAGCAGGTATGCAGCCATAAACACTGAATAAATAAATAAAAAGCATGAATAGTTAAAGTATGGCATAAGCTCTAAATTCCATGCAGGTCATAGGATCTTTCCTCACGACTGAATTAAAAAGCTTTTTACTCTTGAATGGCCAGAAAACAATCCCAGCATTAAATTTGCTATTCTCCTTACTAGTCGGTATCTTGCTTCTATTGTTCCTCTCCCCAGTCAGAGCAAATCTTGACCCTGAAGACTCTTCTTCACTTAATAGTTAGGAACTGAATCCCTGTATTCAGAGGCAAGGATGTCTTTATCTACTTCTGTGAAGCATTCATCTGTTTTAGGTTGAAAATGGTCCTTCTCTCCAAAGTAAATGCTAATAACATTTTAAGAGATTTTATTTTATTTATTTATTTTGTCAAGCGATTATAAGATTATAGGTATAAGCATAGACATAGTTATGAGTACATGAAATGCATACATATAAGAAAAATAAAAAGAAACAATAGGACAGGAACGGTAGGCACCTTGGTGCACTTATGCACGCCCCCTACAGGCCTCTTAGGAAAGGGGTGAGGTCAATAATAGACAGTCTAAGGTTAAAGTTTTTGGGGTTTGGGGAAGAAACCACAGAGGCTGTTGTTAGACATTGCTCAAGTAAGTGGGGAATTGCTATTTTTATATAATCACAGCTTATAACCATTTATTTCACACTCATGGGCTAAGGACAAGATGAAAGCCACGTGAAAGGGGAAAATAAGAACGATTGCAGAATTATATGGGCTTGTAAATAATTAACTCCAATGTAAGATGCTTTTGCTCTGCTATTGTATCGGGATAAAAAGACACCCCTCTCTTTAACCAAGACTGGAGAAATAAAAATGAAAGCAGATGGAAGGTAATATTTCTACATCACATTTAACCAGGTCTAATGAAGATCTGGCATAGTGTTTCTCAACTTTGGCCCCTTTAGGCTGGCTGGGGGATTCTGGGAGTTGAAGTCCACACAACATAACACTGCCAAGGTTGGGGAAGCACTCGTCTAGCAGCTACTTTTGTACACTCCCCTGTTGACTCTGGCTAGTGTAATCCTTAGTTTTATTTGTTGTCACTTAATGTGGTATGTGAAGTTAACTCAGATTATTATCTCATTGCATGATGTAGTGTGTGAACCCAGAAAATAGATTAATTCAGAAATCGGGTTAATTGTTATCAATCAATCAGTTAATCAGAATAAAGCTGGAAGGGACCTCGGAGGTCTTCTAATCCAACCTCCTACTCAAGCAGGAGACCCTAATCTAGAAGAAAAAATAGACCCATCCTAAAAACTGATTGAACTGAATTTGGATTTGATTCCACTACTGCCAAACTCCAAACCAATTCAAGCAGCTCACAATATGTGTGTTGTGTGTATACATACATACAACCATACACACACACACACACACACACAGGCATAGGCATAGGCATAGGCAGATAGATAGATAGATAGATAGATAGATAGATAGATAGATAGATAGATAGATAGATAGATAGATAGATAGATAGATGATAAATAGATAGATAGATAGATAGATGATAGATAGATAGATGATAGATAGCTGATAGATAGATAGATAGATAGATAGATAGATAGATAGATAGATAGAT